TGCCTTAATTCGCTAACTGACCTTATTTCATCCTTGACTTATAACGGTAATAAATCAGAATGAATCAAAGCCGTCAATTCCTACACAATCCATATATTGAGTCATCAGCGAGCTATTACTACACGAAAAATACTCTAAAAGTGAACACGACATGCAACTGAAGCTGATATCTCACACAGGTAATTACCCTGAGGTAGAGGTAAAGGGTAAAGGTAGACAATAGTGACGCGAGTAAGGTAAAAGGTAAAGTAACGATAAAGGTAAAGGCCTATGACTTACCGAGTTACCTTTTACCTTACCTTGCTGAGGCCTACTTGAGTTCTTCTTCCACTGAAGATAGCGATCGACTGATTCTGCCCATCTAGAATTTGGGTAAATTTTATCATAACTAGCTGCCAAAATCGGGTAATGCTAATTTCACGCTAGATTGCACTTAAACCTTTGACAATTGTTGTATTAAGAACATGAGATTCTCTTAAGTGATCGTTGTCACAAAGTACACACCATACGGTATGAGATGTTTTTTTCAAAGTACATTTAAAATCTTAATCATAAATGGATATATCCAACTAGTGATCATATTTCTAATTATAATGGAGATATAGATGATTGCACTTCTTCATCCAAAATATCCTAAAGATAAAAGATATTCATAAACTTAGTTCACACGTATCATCATTGCTAGGGTGTTATACTTTACTAAGATGTTCATAATTGGAATATTCTGCGTCGCAATTTGAAGTGAATATCTTTGAAACAATATTGTTCTTTTTATTAAGTAAATAAAGCTAAACTTGTTACTAATGAAATCTTCCATCTTCTTTTAGATAGAATGAAATGAATTAAGCTAAACTTGCTGCTAATGAAATCCCATCTTTTGATAGCTTTAAGTGTATTCTTGATGGTTAAGTCATTATTCAAGTAGTTCTCATGCTTCATATCATATTTCATTAATACACAAAGTGTTGAATTTTTATATAACAACAATAGGTTTTTTTTTAAAACCAATAGATTGTCATCACAAATCTCAATTTTTTTGATGTCAAAGTATTTGAAAAAGAATGAACCAACTCATGTTTTGTACATTAAGTATGTTATATTTATACAAATGATTATACTCTAATAAATAATTCTGGTTAAGTTTCAATTATTTGATGCAACATCTTGAAACTTATCAACAATATAATCCCATCAAATTTTTGATACTTAGAAATGCTCAAAATTTTACTCAATAACATTTGTGAATAAAATTAGTTCTTGTCAATACATAAATAATTACAAACATTTTGTTCCAATCAAAATATCAAATCTATTTCCAACAATCTTACAAGCTACAAAATTTAACAGTCTATAATCTTTTATTTTACATGCATTTTTAAAAGAAAAAAAATTTGGATTTCAATCTTTTTAAAACTATATATGTATAGATACTTATGGAGTACTTGAATACAAGTTTATAAATTGTAACAGTGTATGACATCAAATGATTATGATCAAACATATGTGTTTACTTCATTACAAAAAATTGTGGACAAACTAAACAAAAAATCAATGACAATGAAAATAAAAGATATATATTTATTGATTTTGATAATTTCAAGGCATAATTTTTTGTACATTTTACAAAATTCTTTCAACTATATTTGGTAGACATTAAAAAAATTGTGTTCAACAATAGTATATAAATTATGATGAGCTGACATATATTTATTTTCTTTGCAATATAATATTAACACATAAAATTGTAATGTAATTATCTGATATTAAAAAATTTATTTAATTTGGGTTATATTCTAAAATTTCACACAAATCAATTTTTGCATAAATATTCAGATTTTCCAAAATCATCAATATAAGATATGAAACATGTAGTAAAAAACTTCCATACATTATTGTCTACATACTCAAATTAACATATTAAGATTACAAATCAAATTTCAAAAGTTTTAAATTATGTTTGTTGATAATTAATTGGTTATAAAATTTTGAATCAATTATCAAAAGCTATTATTTTCAAAGAAATAAAAAATTACTATATTTATATCTATTCTGGAACAAAAAACTATAATTATTTTGAATCAGTAAAAATAATTACATTACATACATATTAAACTTTAGCATGTATTTAACTTACTTTATAATTTTGTATGAATCATTTTCATCTCGATTTTTTTTTGTTTAGATTTTTTTTAAGGATTTTTTTATCATATTAGTATTAAAATATTATCATAGAAGGGTTAATGTTACTATACATTAAATTAATATCATCAAAAATCTATATTATGAAAGATCAAATATTTTCAATGCTATATATTTAATTTTCTAATGATGCTTACCATTATAAATTAAGAAATTTTTTTAAATTATTATTTTTTATCATTTAGAAAATCACATCATCAAATATCCATACATTGCTAATATCTTGTGACTTATCGTCATTTAATATATGAAATATGGTAATTTTTAAAATAAATAATTCTATTTTGTATCAGTCTGTATAGTCAAATTGACTCTATGCAAAAAGATTTTTATACTGTGAATTTTTTAAAAATTTAAAAAACCGCCAAAAGTTTATCTCGAAATCTTTAATAGACTGTCTAGAATGAATTATAGACCGAAATAATGATATTTTAAATTAAAAAAATGAATTTGAATAAGGAACTCATTTGATCTTTGTAATTTTGTGAATGTGACCGTTAAAAAATCATCCTCATTATTTTAATTTACACAAACGATGGATAAACCTCATCATGCTGTGAGTCATTGGTCAAGAAAAGAGTTACATCTTTGTTGTTAATAATTATGTGCTTTTAACAGTGAAACAACATCTATGAAGATGACTCATATGATGCATGTAATGAATTGGAAGATTTAAAAACTATTCTTCAACATATCCATATTCTAAGTCTACAATTTATTTGTTTAGATCATAAATTTACTCTGGAATATTTTTTAGTAATTTAGATTCAGAAATTAATCTTTAAATTGCATAATCATTTTTTAGTTTGAAAATGAATGTTCAAAGTTATAAATACTCTGCAACTATATTCAACTCCTCATAATGAAGATTCTTTAAGCTTTTGTTAATGAAAGTATAGATGGCTGGATTGAGCATCTTGTCCAAACTTGTAGGTTATATTAAATCTTTGAATTGTCAATGTTACATACTCATATGCTAGTTCAAGCTTTCACTTCGTTCTATGTTAGAAATTTTAATTTTCCTCTTAATGATTAAACACCTTGGAGTTTTGGTAGCATGATGCTAAGATACCAGTTGCTGTCAAATAACAAAAAAAGCCTTAATTGAATGCAAAAAAAAGAGGTGTCATCAATCTATGCAAATCTATGTACTCTAGAAAACAAGAATCATTTTTTAAACCATAACTTTTTATTTCTGACATTACGACCATTCTTTCTATTTATTAGCAAGCTAAATGATTATGATTGAGTAGATTTGAGTTAATTCATTAAAATGTTGATCTAAATTTAAAAAATAAGAAAAAATAATTTAGTTGAGATCAAATTTGTTCGCAAAACATGTCTTTTTTCTATGATCTGTTTTTCTAGCTTTTTATTACAGGATTTAGGTTATCGTTTCAATATTTTAAAATTCTTCTAATATTAAAGTGGAAGTTTCCTTTGAGATTCTTGAATATTCAGGTTTAAATAATAATAATAATTGAATCAATATATCAAATTATATACGGATAAGTTTTATTTTAGTATTATTATAATATTATTCATATAACATATAAAACCCATGTATTAGAATACATGGGTTTTGTTTGATCTGCATTTCAAAATTATATAAAAAATTATGTTGAAGAAAATTAATCTTTTTATAAGACTTTTACACTATTTCAAATTTAAATCAGATATCGCCTTTTTATATTTTTATCTTGAAACACGTTTTATTTTTATGTATGAATAGTGAACTTCTTTTATCTTTTAACAACAAATAATTTATGTACATCTTTTGCTGTTCATTTTAGAAATTTTTAATATTTTTCGCAATCACATCAGGTTTAAAAGATTATCAATAAACTCATATTGCTAATTGAAATTTTTTTTTATTAAGATCATGATGGGATTTTCTAAAAAATTTGAATTTACACTTAATTTCCTGAATTATGAATGAGTTTATAATATCTAAGTTTGATTTCAAATCAGTTTCTTAAGTTGTATTCAAATTCAAGTAAAGTTTAAAATATAGTATGCTGATAAGGATTGTATTGGTGTTTCTTAGTTTCAACATGGTAGAGTAACTCCACTTGCGATAATGGATTGATAAAAATTAGATGGTTTGATATATTTCAGCTTGAATCCAATAATATCAAAATTTAGTGAGACGTTACAATTTTTGAAATTATGTGAAATAACTCCACATTTTATAGTTTAATATAATATCTTATGTTAAAGTACATTGTTTTACAATATTAATTCAACAGATTGACGGATCACTCTAAACCCTCAATATATATATAAAACATATTGAAATAATAAAGGCAATTTGTCAGAAGATATGGATAGATATTTTTTTTTATCTTAACATACACGGACACACAATAGGGAAGTCCTGAAAGTGTAACGTGCGGTGCAGCCGTATTACTGAAGAAGAAGTACATTACACATGAATTTTGTTGTTTTCCTACATATTGCGTATTCTTTTGTAGTGCTGCAATTGTAAACCATATCATCTAGGAAAATATATCAATCTTCGCAAGTCAGTGAAGAAGCTATATTCATCGTGCATGTCAAAAATGGAATGTTACACTCTGCATGCATGGTCAGGGTGGACGTAGAGTTGGTTTCAGAGGTTAGCAGGAAGTTCAGCCTTTGCAGAAAATGCTGACGAAAATTGACTACCTACACGCTTGCGAAGTTGTCGTCATATGCGCTGCATCAAAGGCGTTTCCGGTGTCGTAAGGTGTTCCCTTCGATTATTATGCACACCACCGAGAGCTCGTTCACAGCTGGGAGGCACGCAAGGAGGAAACGAATGAAATTAGAGATGCTAACTTCGCGTGGGAAGTTGGACGTGTCCAGGTCTTGGACTCAGGTCAGGTATAAGGTCGCCATGGTTGGGTCGAGTTGGTGTTGGGGCTCGGGGAGGGAGTTCGCGAAGTTGACACGAGGCAGCAGCCGAGTTTGGCGGTACGCTCGCTGAAGAAGGATAGAACCGCTGCTACTACGTGCAGGTGCTGCCACGGTACGCGTGGCTATGACACCCAGTCACTGGGTTAGTAGTCTAATAAGGAAGCGCAGCGAAAGGAGAAGAGACGAGATTCTGCGCTCTGTGGCGTCGCCAGTTTGAATGTCGGCTCTTCGATTGATCTAGCACGATCGTCCCGATCGTTGACAGGATTCCAGTCTCCACCGCTGCTGCTGCTCCGCAGCAGAGTCTAGATCTTTTTTTGAATCCCTGCGGCCGCACTGTATCCTTCCTTTGGGGAGAGCTGGTTCGAGCGAGGTTGGGAAATCGCGATGGCCGCAATGTTGCTGGAAACTCCTTCTGACGCGGCGATGCGCGTACGTTCGTCCGACCTCTGGTTTTGTTAGATGGCTTCTGTGGTCGATGGAGACTGTTTCGGAATCTCTCGGTCGAGGAATTGTCCTCTCTTTGTGTTGTTGGCGTGCAAGAAGAGTGTATGAGTGGCTGTTTTGTCTTTCGGCGTTTTGAGTGGATGAATTGTAGAATTTGCGGAAGCTTGCATCTGCGTGCTGGATGTTGCTATCGCGGAGGAATGTGGGTTTTTTAGGAGATTTTATTCCCTTAGTTTTACAGAGATTTTTTTAATTAAGTGAATGCGTACTGTCTGCGATCAAGGCGATCTTCAGTTCAAATGCAGTCGTGAATTTAGAGGTCCGATTGTGCTGTAGAGCTCATTTGGAGCAGTCTGCTCCCGTCTTTTATCATGCAGTGCGTGGAGTATCTGCCTGCGCGGGCGTTGCCCTTAAGGTGGACCTCTTGAGCACATTAGATGGGATAGACGCCGCAATATATGTCAATGTAATTCCCTGATTTCCTGCATGTTCGTGACTGTGTGTAGAGATATTATGACAAGCTTGCAAGCGCAGGCAAAGGACCAGGGTTAAGAGTAGACCAAATTGGAGGTGCTTTCGGGAAAGGTACGCCTGTTGGGCAGCTCATTTCTTCCCAGTGTCAACAACTGACTCTGTTTTTTCATTGCTTAATATGCTTATTCATAAGTCGTACTTCTTTGGTGACATTCTTAGTTGCATGAAAGCTATACATCAGCTAATTTTTGTCTTGCTGTTTTATTTCACTCGGAGTCTAAGATCTCCAGATTGTGCTTAAAGGTTGAAAACTAGTTGTAATTGAATCCGCTCAGAATCTCTATTGTCCACCAAGAAATGAACATGTTAAAGGCGTATTATTTCTCGTACAGGTTTGTTTGCCGACAAAGTTTTTGATCAGGATGAGTTGGTACTTCGAGAGCCAAAGCTTGTTGGAGCACAACATGAGCACAACAAGGTGAAAGTTCAGTTATTCACATTTTTCTAGTGTTGAAAGCTGATGGATGATTTTCAACCCTTAAAAAATTTGAGTGCCATACTTTGAGGCAATCAATGTTAGTGACAGGTTGCAGTGTATCTTGAATTTGCTTGTGTAGGCAGATGCTCTCGTATGCAGTTTCTGTTTCCAGTATATTGGTAGCATGGAACTCCAGATTGGACGACGGCTTCTTTCCAAAGGGGATGAATCTGCGCATGACCTTAAGGAGACCGGGTCTCTCTCCGGTGGAGAAGAGGGGTCTGATATGGATTTAACGGAAGAGAAAGAAGAAAGCGAGAATGGCCATGACGGTTGTGGCTGCGATGAGAAGTCCCACAACAGGAAAGCAATATCAACAGAGTTAGTTGATTCGCTTTTGACTGGTGACCTCCATCTGCCTTATTCCGATAAATTCCCGCTGTCCCCCATCACCAGTTGTCCTGGAGGTTGCGCAGAAGACGTCTTTTGCAGGTCGGTGTCACATTTATGAGTTATCTGTTATCTGAAACCATACTTGAAAATGTTTCTGAGAGTGGTCACTTATTTGTGCTGACATCATCTTGCCCAGAGAAAGAAGATACAGACTTTCATCATGTTCTAATTTCGTGATTATTCTTTTGATCTTCTTAACGTGGGGACTGTTTTCCTGCTATTAGACATTCAATCCATCAAATATTTTTTTTTTGGTCTGCGTTATTCGCTTTATGTTGCAAGTAGTATACACGTAGTCGTGACGAGATGTGGGAGTGCAGCGATATGTGTGCAGATGAAGCGTGGAGAACTTATCATTCACTCCTCTGTGCTGGTCCAAACTCACTTTGTGAGAATAAGAAGGCTCTAGCCCAATTTAAGGAACACGCCTGCGGTATTTCTGCTGCATTCAAATTTCTTTATACACTTTTCCACTTCAGTCATATTGAAGGTTACAATTATCTGAGCATAAATTATGCGATATTACAAAGCCGGAGGTTTATTTCTATGAGCAACGAACACAAAGACTTATTTCTGTCTTTGAAATCTGTTTCCTTAATACATCGGTTTGATTGTTAGATCATTTTTTTTATTGAGTTCTTTCTTTTTCCAAATTTAAATGAACTATTATGGCTCGCAGATTCCAATGACATATTCCTTGTTGCTGCCCAGGTACGTACTTTGTTCTCACTCCACTTGAGCATTCAAGGGACATGTAAATTGCAATAATAAATATGAATACTTGTAATGTTTCGGACTGAGGATAAATTCTCCTCATTTCAACTTCTGACCTCCAACAACAATAGGAAAAAACGAAGAGTGCTGGTCACTAGAGAATCATGGCATCTGACGTCGGATTCTTATGACTATGAACTTCTCTTCTGAAGGTGATCGCAGGAACAATATTACAGGCCAGGAATCTCAAGAACGAGATTCTCAAAAACGCCACCGCCAAGGGGAAGGAGCCTCGTCAACAAACACACGACATCTTACTGGAGGCCTGGGAGCCCTTCGCCATGGGCTTTAAAAAATTGTAACTTCATAACCTTCAGAGTGAAAAGAGATGATTGATTGCATTTTAGCTTCAGGCTGCGTTTAATCACTTGGATCGGTTACACTTCTCTGATCTGGACACTCCGCGTATAAGGTTAAAGTTACCATGTTTTGAAGGTGGTGGGAAGCTGTGGCTTTGCCCGATGATGTTGATCCTTCGCAAGAAGATTCCTTCAGAGACCAGTTTAAAGAGCTTGCTATCGAGGTATTCAACGTACCGAGAACGTTTTGATGTATATTTCTATGGATACATTTCTCTTGATACTGTAAATTAGAGAACACAGAATCGAGTATGGGTCTTCTGCAAATGGTAGTAATGTAGTAATATCTCGACTTTTTAGCGGCCTAATTTTGAGACATTCTAGAACTCTGTTTTCTATCTTATGAGAAGCCAGGAACACATCTAACTCGCAAATCGTTGCTGTGGTAGTCATTGAACTACCTCAAGGAAGCTATTTATGAAGAGGAGTACGATCCCTGTATCCTTAACGTGGCTCTTTCGTTCTGTACACGTCTCAAGTATTCAAACTGGCTGGCAGATACCTTTAGTAACATCATTTTACACCTATCAAACTTCCACGATTGTTGCTAGATGTCATCTTGATCGCTGCTTGGATCCTTGAGACATCGAAATGAATGATCGGAGGATGGAACTACATGTAAACCTTAATTTGACGTTCTATGTAGTGTTTGATCTTGAGGTCTATGGCCATATCATCGGAATGTTCGAGCTCAATAATCTGTAAGATACTCCACTCACCCGAAATACACTGATTTCCCTGTTTTGTTTTGTGTCTTCATTCTGGTGAACAATATCCCCTCCAATTTAGCTTTTGATATTGTCGGGTTGATCTCGAGTTACTTCACAAGCAGGTAGCGGATCCAAGCGAGTTTATAGACATTCCTTGTCTTTGACAAAAAATGCTTGTGTTGTTTTCTTCTGGCAGTGAGATCGTAGTTCCGTCACCCGTCGAAGACTACTTCATCTACATCGATGACCTGCCAAAGGATGACCAAAGTGCACATGCGGGCACTGTAACTAGACCGTTCTTGGATGCTCTTGGCTCTGAATATGCTACTTACTGTACAGGTATGTTCCTTACTATCATTTGTGGCTGCAGTAAATTATGAGCATCGAGGATTGCAAGGACATAGTGCATATGATGTAATCACCAGGATATATGGATTTCACTTGTGCTACAGCTGAAGAGTTCTGACAGCTTGATCAGAACGTACGAGCCTTATGTAGCTTGTTAGAGGGCTTACAAAAGTTGGTCATGGATTGTACAGGAACTGGATTCTTTGCTCTTCAGAGCTGCGTCAATCACTCTTGTCGTCCGAATGCAAAAGCATTCAAAAGAGAGGAGGTTTGCTTTCGTGCATCACAGCGACAAGGACCTTTACAATCTTCAACAATGTGGTTGTAGTGCAGACTACCTTTGATTAGAGTTGCTGGAAATTTCAATTGTCATTCGAGTGAATGAAGTGATACGAGTGGGTACTGAGATTGAGTGCGGTGCAGGATAGGGACGGAGCTGCAGTCTTGTTGGCGATTAGACCCATTCGGAAGGGAGAGGAGGTACCAGACTCTAGCATAACTTTTGTTTTTTCTTCTAAAAACTTACCCTCTGAGAGAAAGATGTACCAAACTTTAGTTCCAGCCAGACGTTCATACTGTACTGTGTTTTTGCAGATCACCATAAGCTACATCGACGAGAATCACGACTTAGAAGAAAGGCAAGCACTGCTTGCCGACTATGGATTCGTCTGCTCATGTTCGAGATGCATAGAGGACAGTTCAATGAAGATTTTCAGCAGCAGAGCTCTAGCGGGAATGCTCCAACAATAACGAACGGGTCATTAATTTTTAGAACAATTACCCTATCAGCGTAATTTGTGGACTACAAATAGGAAGGAGACGAGTAGAGCTTGGAAGGTAAGTAATTGCACTAGTCTAATATTTCTGACCAATCAGGATATTTGTAAGCGATTTGTATATAATATTAGTTGAGGACCGACTTATCTATTTGACACAGGATCTTCGTGGAAGATAGAATTTATTCAGTGATCACTCTAGATACCTACACCAATGAGGCCTTTTCTCAAATTTGAGGATGTCCGCCCGCTTTTGAGATCTTCATCCCACATCGTCCTCACCCACCACTCAACTGCCATAGATTTTTGTTACTGAGTTGGTACTTCTAAAGATTCTGTACGCTCTGTGCTTATTAATGATAGTTTCTCTATGTTGTGTTCCAATCTCATTCCAGTATCACTCTCAAAGGAGGCTAGGTATGTCTCTAGATTGGATGTCTCGGTTCTAGTATAGTAACAGCTATGCTTGGTATGTAGACTATAGAGGTGGATCTTGTTAGTCGGATACGATTTTACAGTTACTGACAAAGTGACAAATATTATCGGATATACTTTGGCCCCGTCACTCATCACCTTTCTACGGGCGACATCGAATAAGCAAAAGACAGCACATGCCTTGCTAAGGCAGTCGTCTTGTCTTCTAACCGATCTTTCCAAACGTGTATGGAGGTAATGTTTGAAGGTCAGATCATTTATGTCATCCAGAAGAAGTACATCGCAAGTATTTTCCTTCGGAAGGAAGGCAGTACGGAGTAGCAAAATAGATCAATTGAGAAATAGCGCTACCGTTGAATCTTGGACCAAAGCTACAAGTTGAATAATCTTTTGGGATAACTTTGTGCGGAATTTCAGGAAGAAAAGGTCGATGGAGAAAACGAATGATGAAACTTTTTGATATAATTTGCTTACCTGCGTCGAGGTGGATGACTCATAGGTATAATTGTAAAGATAGGTATAATTGTAAAGACACTGTATCCTCTTGGATGTGTCGGTGGTGTCAATCGAGTATTCGTTTAGAGCAATTTGGTATCTTCACGTCATTCGAAAGCTACACTACAAATGCGTATATCACTAGTCGGTGTGCAAACGGAACGCTGTATACATGAACGCCGCGTCCCTGTAAAAAGGTAAAGATCTGTTTTAAAAGGTAGGAAGTAATGTAGGAAAAGAATGTGAATATTATAGCAGACAATACATGGATGCATACGGTTAGTGAAGATAAGGCTAGATCCCAGTAGCATAGGAATCTAAAACACCACCTTCAAATCAAATAGTCAACGAACATTAAAAGGCTTTCAATGTTCGTAGTATGATTTGATTGCATCCCGGTTATTGTAAACATATAACAGATAATTTTGATAGGTCAATGAATATACATCCTCTAAAATATATATCTAGTAAACCATCATCTTTGCATAAAGAAAATTGTTTAATGGATTTGTTGAAGTAAGTTCGCTCTTCCTATGCAACTAGAAGTTCATATGAGCAAGGAGGTAATAGTCGGAATTAAATCTATACTTGCAGGTATTAGCTAGAGTAATTTATGAATAATCAGCATATGCAAAAAACATAAATTAAAAATTGAATTATAAATTTTGTAAAACTACTTTAGTATATTGATTTGTGTGTTGATTAACCTTGCTTGAGTAAATTAATTGCTTAATAAAATTCTTTCCATTTGAAATATTCATATTCTCATCTCTTTATAAACACTTAATCAACCTCAAATTTATGATTTGGTAGACTGCCATACTCCATACTCAACTTGTCAATGAATTTATATAAGTTTTTGTTACATTGAAATTGATATTACACTCATAATGATGAAGACAAGGCAGAACTTTTAAATTTGGCGAAGAAATGATGGTTGTGAGGAAAAAAATCCTCTTGATCTAAACTGCACGTTTAGATAAATATGCAATTAGATAAGAAATTGCTGCAACAATAAGTAGATGAAATCAAATATAACAAGGAAAAGTTGAATACACCCAAAAACGCTCTGCAAAATATGGTGAAATTGTCCTATTCGCCAAGAAGACTTTAACATCTCATCCAGGTGACTGTTAAAGGGGAAACTAAGAGACATAATATGGCCATGACGTCTCTATTAAAAAATGATAATAATTCTTATGAAAGACAAATCCATATTCATGTCCTTTTTTGAAATTTGTGGAGTAAGGGTGGACATGCCAGTTTAGCATCAGTCGCATATCATAACGCTTTACGATGTTGCTTTACAATTAGAGCACCATGTTCATGGAGATGTGCTTGACTCGTGCGCGCATGATCGTCACTTGCAATGGGGCACTTTTGTGATGAACAGGGTGGCACGTGCATAGCAAAAACTATGGGAGCACACTCTGGAACAAGAGGCTAGCCCCGTCAGCCTTGTCATAGAAACAAGTCGCACAGCACGTGCAATATCCTCAAGTTCCATCCATCCATCCATCCGACTTTCTCGGTGAGCGGACGCAGTAACGGACATTGCCCAAGACGGGGTCGAAAGATGTCATTCCAACATGTCTAAGCGGCGAGAAATGAGAATAGGAAACAATACGAAGAGTATAGGAAACATCTAACAAGTTTTGACTGAGCCCAGCAGTCTATAGACTGCGTCCCCTACCATGGACATCGGGGAACCCCCAGGCCCAGTACGGTCGACTGTTATGAGTACAGTCGACTCTCGAAAGTGCAACCGCGGCATGCATTTACGTACATAATCCATCATGGACAAGTGGATAGCAAGAGTCATGGTCAGAGTTCGAAATCAATCATTATGAATAAATGTATATTATATTTTATATAATAAACATTTATAAATTTTTCAGTCATCCATAACTTGAAATATGAAATTTGATTTCTTTTACCTCGCGAATATAAATTTTTTGACTCGAGATTCTCACAAGCTGCAAAGTGAATACTGCATAGTTTCATGTAGACAACTCACTTCATGAGTGTGGGACTTATTTACAATAAAGGTCAACGGGATTTTGAATATTACGATATCATGAAATAAAGAATATGCTCACAATTTTTATAACTGACACAACATCAAACATGTAATATTGGAATCAAATAACAACAATTTTAATTTATAGGTCATTTTGATATATTTTTTATTTTAAAATAAAATTTACCTCGATATGTAATACTTAGATACTTAGATGTACTTTGAAATTCGTTTTCCATTCATACTCATTATTCAATTTTCTTGGGATTTTTTTTAGGAAGCCCGTATGACAACCTAGTGCATTTAATTTGTTTCAGGTGAAGAAATCAAGTAAACACACAACTTACATAGAGAAATTTTTTTTTTCGTCTTGTTGGGTTACATCCCACATCGAAAAACACATGATATAGTAAGAGAAAACCTTAAATATGTGTCACTGATAATTTTACATGTTGAATCATACAGGTCACTAAACTGCAATTCTTTTTTTTAAAAAAACCTGCAAGGCAGTAGCTTGAATTTCATCTCATTTGAAACTTGATCAAATCTTATTATTCCTTCTGTGATCGGACACTCAATGATAATAATAAGTAGTTAAGTTTCTACATATACTTTCACAAATGTTATGCGTGTTCATTAAGACAAGCTTCAAACGAATGTGTTTTTGATCGCTTTTAGATCGATCGCTGTTTTAGATCCCCGATTGATCATGATGAGAGATGTATTCTAGTGTCTTTGGAACATGTTAGAGTGTGTTGATTTTTGAAAACTAGACTCTGTTACTGAACTGGTGAATGGATTCAGCTTAGTATGTGTTCATAATAGTCTCCCGGCCGATTGGCGACTTTCTATAACGTTCCATGGCCACAACTTACACACATGACGAGGCCCAGCGAGCAATTTCTAGTGTCGCCGCAGTGGATCGATTGTTTAATCTGGATCTTGAGATGTGGCGCTGTACTCACGTTCCTCTATGCTTGTCAACTTATCAAACTTGAAAATCTAGGAACTGTAAGCAAGGACATAAATTAAAGTTAACCACTAATATAGATTCCGGTCATTTGATATCATGTAATAATAAAATAAAACAAAAGGCCACTGTTTGGACGAATGATGCGTTCACGGTCACACAGAATCAGATAAGAGTTATATTCATAAATATGACGGCAAGAGGCCCTCAATCGTAATGGAAGCGGAAGGAGTTACACACTCAGTGTGATTAATAACCTTAGTAAGTTTTTCTAAGATAATTTAAAAAAATATTCAACTGTAAATAATAATAAATTTATTCAATGTTCATTTGAAACAAATAATGATATTAATTTCTCGATTATGATGTTAATTTAATGATTATTTCGAAACATGGTAAGAGCGTTGATGTGAACCACAATGAATGGGGGTTGACAGGAAAGGAGGTAGAGCCATACTTCGTCCTTGTGCATGAAGATATCCGAACAGTGAAAGCAAAATCTTGGACGGCGAGACAGAACTCTCAGCTCTCAGAGTGAGACCAGATGGATGGATGTTCATCCCTCCGAGCATGCTGAGAAAGGTCCAGGGACGTTCAGACGTGGTCACGTTAGCCTCATGACGTCGAGAGCTCAAATTTATACTGATCTAGGTAGCCAAAGATTTCCCTCGAGCCTTTTATCTGATTCACTTTTCACTGTGTCCTGGATCATGGCCCGATAGAAATGATAATTATTTATCCTCCTCGTTATGTTGTCATACTCCCATTCCCCATTCCCCGGCTTCCTCCTCCACATCAGAACGAGAGTGTCCAATCCGCGCAATCATTGCTCGAGGACGGGTGAAGGCCAGCATGCTCAGCTCCCTTCTGATTCAACAACCTCATCCGAGAAAAGGCAAACAGTCAAGTGCGCGGATCTCTTCACGGGTTCGGGTTACCCATAGGGAGATTCAGGTTCTCAGTCAGCTGATTCGTCGGCCCCGGACGGGATGTGCACCTTAGCCATGTAGCCATCTCTGACCCAGGCTTTCCCAATTCAGAAGCCGGTTGACTTTCACCTGCCGCCAGCACCAGCACCAGCAGCAATAGGATTACGCATCCCCCGGCTCTTTCACTGGAGTCAGTGTCTCACTCTTCCTTCCTTGGAACCACATGCATGCTCACAGTGCGGCGACCTCAAATACAGAAGAAGGTGAAATTCCAGCACCATGTAATTCAAGAAGGTTGCCAATGATTTGTCACCTTTCAGCAGCGCTGGACTCGGTCGACGAGGAAATCCGTCCACATGTGCAGCGATGGAAGAATGCAGGGAGCTGGGGAGCTGGGCTTATCTGATATAGAAATGGGGTGGGAGTATTTGGAGTGGGGGGCACTCGAGGCAGGGTGCTAAATATCTTTAGATCGGAAGTCGGGACTAGAGGCCGGATGTGTTCTATTCGCTTTACTGCGTGACAGCGTGGGATGCGCTGCCCTCACCACCTCGTATCCAATGTCGATCGAGTCAACCTCGATGCCATTATGACATCCCGTCGTTTGCTCATGCCAAGTGCTCCCCACTACTACTAATACTACTCCTTCGACTGCACTGTGCTGACTGACTGTCTGACTGACCGACCGACCTCCAGCCATTGCTGCCACTGGCTTCCCACAAATGTCAACGTGTCCATCATCTTGGAATTGTGAATCCTACCTTCTCAGCTCCCCCCTATCCCTCCGTTCTGTCGCCAACATTCAGCGTCAGTTCCGCAAAACCCCACCCAGTCCTGAACATTCTCTGTCCACCTTCTGGCATAGCACCCACATTCCCAATATCCCTCCCTCAGCAGAATCACCTCCCTGAGATGCGACTGTCAAATTTCGAAGCTCAAGAAGACCTGCGGTTCAATAGACAGCCTTGCTTATTCATTCGAGGATTCGTTGGGTTGGAGCAGGATACTGAGGAGTGATTGAGAGAGGAGGGCAGGCTTGTGGAGAGGTTCGTTTGCTGTCAGTAGGATTGGGGAATCGCCTGCGGAGAGGTTGTTGATCTGGAGGATATTCGAGTGCTGCTGCTGCTGTTGCGGTGGAAGAAGCAGTGAAAAGCGGGACAGGCAGCCGCCATGTTAAAGCTTGAGAATGCGGTGTTGGTGGTGTGGGCCGTAGCACTGATGCACGGTGTGGCTCAGGCTGCAAATTTCAGCACTGTGCTGAGAAATGATTATTATGATCAGACTTGTCCGCAGCTCGAGTCGACCGTAGCTCGCACTTCTTGGTACAAGTATAATAATTCGGCAGTGGTTGCTGCCGGGGTTCTCCGAATTTACTTCCATGACTGCTGGGTGGCAGTAAGATCTCGAATCCTGCTTGCAGATGTCTTTCATGTATCTGCTCGTCCCATGATTCCAGAGCATTGAGAACAAGAATGTGGAGAGAGATAGAGGAAGAATGCTATGCCCAGCTTGTGATGACATATATATGAGCTCTCTCATTGAGAATGTGTCCAAATGGTTGCAGGGCTGTGATGCATCGGTGATGTTGATGTCCACCGACACGAATCAGGCGGAAAAGGACGCGCAGGAAAATCTGTCTCTGTCTGGAGATGGATTCGATGCCATCACTCAGGCCAAGCTGGCGGTGGAGGAGGTGTGTCCAGGAGTTGTATCCTGCGCCGACCTCATCACTCTCGTCACCCGCGACCTCATCATTCTGGTACGGACGTGCGCATTTGCATTCTCTTCTGTCGTCCTCAGCAGTTCAATGACGCACCAGAATGGTCAGCCAGTTCACCAATGGGCGCTAATCCTGCAAGAGTTCTCGATCCCTTCCCATACTGTGGAGCTTCCTCCCTTCACATTGGATCCACGTCTCCTTCTGCTCTGACTGTCACAATCTGAAGCTGACCTGCTGAAGAGGCCCAGATGCCATGACTCTCGCAAATGTGGCAGGATTTTGCTCTCCTCGAGTCGGTCCAAAGTCAGTCCTTTCTCGACGTTGGTCCAGGGTCTTAGTCCTAGTGACTCCTGAGCTTCTCCATTGACTGTCACAGTCTGAATGGACTCGCTGATTTGACCCAGACCCCTTGAGTCCCTTCCCAAATCTTGGTAGCGCTTTGCTTTCCATGAGATTTTCCAGATGATTCTGCTTCAACATCAGGCCAAGGTCTAGTCCCGGTGCTTCTGAGCCCATGACTTATCGACCGAGCTCGGTCGGTTGATCATCCGTGTCTGGAGGAAGAACTGCAGTTGTGGACTCCGTCTGATAAAATTCTGAACACGAATGAATACATTCTGTGCCCGGATGGCTCTAATGTCGGCTTCAAATTGCTCCTCAACATGTCTCATATCTCTCACTGGTCATTCACCCACTGGCCATGTGAAGGGCTTGGCCTCCAATCCGGACGTAAACACATCCCACATCGTTTTGGGATGTTAATGAGCTCAATTACCATTCAGATTGAGAATTCCCTTTGATGAGTCGTGGGTATAAAGCACTTTACAGTCTTTGTCCTATTGTAGGAATCTGGGATTGATGCACATAAAACTGAGATCAGTTGATCCTTCGAGTCCATCAATCGTGCATGAAATGATCAAGTTTCGCCGACCGAAAGTTGGACGAGACAGTGACGTCGAGGTCTGTGATGTGCAGGCAGGGGGGCCCAGATATGAACCCCTGTATGGCAGACTGGACGGTAGGACGTCGAGAGCCGAAGACGCGATAGCAGTTCTTCCGCGTGCCAGAGACCCCATGGACAAGCTCATCGCCAATTTCGCCAGCCAAAACTTCAGCTCCCAAGAGATGCTCGCTCTTCTCGGTACGTGCATTCATTCTTTTTCTTTCTGTCTCTCTGTAAAGCAAGCAAGCAGCTGATAGATTGTAAGTCCGATTCTGAGCAGTAACTGGAGAAATGCATGAATCTGAGGTCGTTCGAGTCCAGGGACTAGTCAACCGACAATCTAACGCAACGCGCTGAATTTTTCATGCACTTTAAGAAAAATTGGATTTTGCTGAGATGTGGAACGAGTGTGAGGTTCAGCGAGGTTGCTGACTGCTGGATTGGGTCGGGACTTTGGGCGGGTGATGGATGCAGGGGGGCATACCATAGGATTTGCACATTGTTCAGAGTTCGATTACCGAGTGTACAACTACTCGACCACGAGCAAGGTGGACCCCATTCTGAACGCCACTGCAGAGGAGTCCATGTTCGGAGTGTGCCCGATCGGAGTGGACCCTCTGATCGTGGGCAATTTGGACAACACCACGCCTGAGGATTTCGATAACGCGTTCTTCCACAACTTGCAGAACCGCGAGGGAGTGCTCGAATCGGATCAGGCTCTCTTCGAGGACCCCCGCACCAGACCGGGAGTCAACGCGTACGCTGCGAATCAGACTCTCTGGTACCGAGATTTCGTGGCGACCATGATGAAGCTGGGCACTCTCAATGTGAAGACAATTCCAGGACCGGATGCTGAGATCAGAAGAGACTGTGCCTTCATTAACTGATGATTGATTCCTCTTCCTTCGAGGAAAGAGAGAGAGGAGATTGTAATTTATTATTCCCCTGTAGATTTAGAATCGAAGCCATTTTTTGGGCAAGGGCCGTGGCTGACAGACATACCCATCTGATGTCAGCCCACATTTGGCCCAGTGTGTATCTAATCAGCATGTACACAACTGACATATGACATCCGGCCTTCATCTAAAATCTGCGAATGTGATGTCATCTACACTTGCCCGTTATTTCATTCGGAAGATTGCGATTTGTGATCCAAAACAATAAAACGATTTATGTTCCCATTATGCTCGAAAAACAGTCTCAATTATTATCACACTTGCGCTGTTGTTGTGATTTTGAGTAATGCTTGAAGAGAACACAGATGATTCAGCACAACAGAATGGGGGAAAAGATGGCTCTGATTTTCATCAGCATTTATAATAAATGGTTTATGTTTCTTACGTAAATGAGATTACATGAAACTCGAAAGAATACATGAAAACCGAAAACTCTGTGAAGAACTCTTCTGAGGTGGGGAATTTGTCTTCGTGCGAGTCACCCAGACCATAAAAACCGTCAATTATAACCTTCATTTGCTACTCTCCAGAAACTCCTCGACTGTTTTGTACTGAACGTCCGGATACAGGTCGGCGGCCTCCACTTCGTGTGCAAGCGGTTCAAGGTCCATTTCTCCCTTGGCGAACATTGCGTATCGAATGGCGAGCATAATGTTGGGCGTGTAGTGGCCCACCACCGCAGCACCTTCTGGCCCTGCAAAGAACGTGTCCACCCTCTCGTTGATTAGTAGGTTGTGAAGGCAAGATGAAGACTGCGAGGCAGAGCTTTGAAACTAACACAGCCAACCTGCTCACCTGCAATCTTCTTGAGCATGTCTTCGGCTGAGAGATAGGTCTTCTCGAGAGTGTGACCGAGTTTCTGCTCCCAGAGAGAGACGACGTGCTTGGGAGACAGAAAGTTGAGTTTGGGCCGGATGCAGAGAACCTTGTTCAGCGTTCGAGGATCATCCACGGCCTTGATGACAAACTTTGCAATATCTTGCTCGTAAACGAAAGAAACTGCGAGAACAGCCTCATGATTAGTAAGCATTCTGAAGTGAATGCATCGGCTAAATCTGCTCCATCGAGGCTTCAACACGACGGCTCGTCCTCTCGAGCTCGATAGATAGATCGATCACTGTTCTCTCTAATATCTCTCGAACGCTGAAACTTTCTCAACTCAGACAGACTTCTAATCAATGCCTGATCTGCATGTACCTCTGCCTTCTCCATCACCAAAGAACTCCACCTTGTCCCTGGGTAGAGTCTCGTAGTCCCAATGCCAAAAATGATCGAGAAAAATGGACGCGAAAGCAGTGTTGGTGGCAATGGTGAAAGGAATCCCAGCTTGCTCAATCGCTCTCCGGACTCTGCTCTTGATCCCAATGGCATTTTGCACTGGTGGCAACAGGGTTACCCTGTCGGCGTCCAGTCCATACTCAGAGGGGAAGAACCTCTGAAACACGAGGCGAAGAAGATTTAGATCGTATTCAAGTCAAACTTCTCAGCAACAAAGGCAGCTGGCTCTGATATTGCTGCTACAGCAGCACCAATTGAGTTCATTCTGTTCCTTGGAAGAAGACGAATAAAAAAGACAACTTCTTGCTGCGATGGACACTTCTTCCTTAGGGGGCATTGTTAGTAGAAGAAGGTGGAATTACGCTGCACCTTGATAGTTCCAGCTTCTTTGATGGCCTCTATCAAGGGGAACTGCTCTTCGGGATGGGATACAGCTGAAATCACTACATCCACTTGTTTCAGAGCATCCACCAAGCTCGCATGATCGTCGAGAGAGCCCTGCAAAATAGATCAGAGATTGGCACCGACTAGAGTGAGCTGAAATCTAAGGTACCTAGCCGTCTCCGGAAAAAGAATTTCTGACATGATTCTCCCGGAGTGCTCCGGATGCTCGCTGAGCTCCTTTCTGATCGATCAGGATGAGAATGATCAAATGCCAAATTCAGAGAAGAAACTGCAATTACAATATGATGCGAGATCTATCGGTTATCAATGCCCCACCTCCAAAAGCGTGATTCCGAGGATTTTAAAATCCTCGAGGAGAGCAGCCTTTTCAGTTCCAGGATTCGAGAGGGTCTGTGGTCTGATGAGGGCAAATGTCTGATGGCCCGCAGCTGCACTGGCTTTGACAAAGTACCTACCTATCCATCCCGTACCACCGATAATCAAAATCTTACTCCGATTCTCACCCATCGGAGTTCTCTAACCCACCTCCCGAGCACTACCACCACCAGAATTCTCAATCACACAATCGCCCAGAAACGCAGCCGCCGAAGTCTGACAGAAAGTTCAAACTGTGCACGGGAGGGAGGAGCTATCAAAATATACAATCATCCAAATGCTCGGTGCCAAAACCTCCGATGTGAACACTCTATCAGAACTACCCTTCGCCCTTGCCGCCTCAAAGCCTGTTAGTGAGTGAAGCACTTTAGAGGCCAGACCAGACCAAACTACAACAGACCAACCTTTCCTAAAGCTGCTTTTTAGTCACACCTCAGGACCTTAGGCTTATCTGCCAGCGTTTATCCCAAAAAATCTTCTGATTCACACTCGAAATGTGCTTCTGGCCTGTCTCGCGGTCTCTCATTAGTCTCGTGAGTAGGACTTGAGGTTAGTTGATGACTGACATCCTCTCCCTCGGACCTCAGTCGGTCAGTCGGTGGAAGCTACGCTGGCGAGGGAAGGGTGCGTGAGGAAGAGTTTTGTACTGTCATGAGTTCTCGAAGAGGACAGAACTGGCGTCGGTCGGTCAAAGTGCCAAGACGATGGTGAAGACCCATCGAGCCTCACACTCGTTGCGGAAGAATCCAAGGCACATAATCCAGCAATCGAATTTTGATAAATCTAAGAGCGCGTTGCGTTGCGAGTTCATTTGCCGCCATGAGGTGACGTCACGAGACCGGGTGCTGAAGAGACAAGTGGATCGGGGCGAGACGTCTGTACAAAAGTGAGATGGAATAAGATCGAAAGAGAGGACCTCAAAGAATATGGAGACAGTAAGTTCTGACAAGTGGAAAGTATAACCTGAATCACAAACATGTACATTGAATACCATTTTTTTATTTTTATTATATATGTATTTTTATTTTGAATTGAATTTGAATCTTAACGTGAAAAATTTTACACGTTTCAATACTTGAGTTTGGTACCATCATTAATGTTAAACTTAATTGTTTAAAAAGTAAGTGGATGCTAAATATTTTGATTCGGATGAATTCAAAAGGTCCATTATTATGTTATTATTATATTTATGTTATATTTATGCTTGATCAATTAATAAATGTGGGGTTACATGAAAATTCCGTAATGTTGGTGTTTTTTTATATTTTATGCCATGAATAAGTTTTGCATTTTGATTGAAGTGACCAACTTTATCTAAAAATAGGCCAAAATCATTCTAATTGTAATTAAATTTTTTCGGTTTGATGTTTACACCCTTCGTCTCATTGATGGAAAATTTGTATCAATGAGAGCTTTTTGGCAAATTTTTTGAGATTTTATGAAGATTCAGCAACATATTTTAGACACATTAAAAAATAATATTTGTGATATATATAAAACTTAACAGCATAAATCATGCATGTGATCAAGAAATGAAAGCTGTAAGAATTCATACATTTATTTTATACACTATTAAGATTAAAAATTTTAAAAACTTCACTCAAAATTTTTTAATCACTTGGAATCTATAAAAGTGAAGTATGCATAATGCACAGGGAAATTCATATTCCCAATGTGTATATATCTTTTGTTATCTAAATAAAATTAGTATCAACTATATACTTGCTAGTCTAGATTTATGATGCATTCACATGTTAGCAATAAATATGTGGAAAGATTTATCAAGATAAAAAAATGTTCATATTTGTGGCAAAATTACTTGACGTCATATTGCTTGAGAATAATTCAACAGAAACTGTTAAATTACAAAAACCAGGAAAATACGAAATCAGATTTCGTATTTTCCAGGTTTTTGTGTTCATGTTGTGAGGAATGTAAACCTGGATACACCTCCCCTAATGCACAGTAAAGATATGTGTATTTGCAATCATAAAGCAGAAAGATTACAGGGATGTATTGCGAAACTCGCAAAAAAAATAAAATTGAAGTCTATTCCATCCATATTAAATCTATCATTTTGCAAGATATTGTCATTTATACCCTTCTCCATCCGTGCCAAATTTCTACTTATACACTCCAGAATATGTGGTTGGTAGATGTCTAAAAGATACCACATATACATCTATCAAAGTACTTCAAGCTTGAGAAAAGACCAGTCTAACAAACTGCTTTTTTCAAACAAACAAAAAATAGTTCTACTCTCCAACATGCATCATTGCATTAAACTAATATCACTCAATTAGATGAAGTCTTTACCTATTATAGTGTATGTATAACTAGGTAAAGTTATACACACAGTAAAGTAAGTCGGACAGGTTAAGCTGCACAAACTTATACATAGCTTTTATATAGGGCCTTCATAGACCCAGGCAGTTGTCATCCTGCAGTGAGCCGTGACGGAAGTTCTTCTTTTCGTTGCGACTCTCCTCTTTTGGACCAAAGATGGAAGAATTTGCGGGCAGGCTAACCGGGCAAGTTTTTGATTGGCAATCAGTTTTCCGGTGGAGCATCAAAGTGACTGAACTAGATCGCTCTGCTTTCCGACATACCGATCTAGCGATGGACTATAAGAACATCTGGGCATCCATCCGCACTCAACTATGAAGGAATCCCTATTCTCACAACCTGGTCGACGTCATACTGGGCATCTATCCGCACTCAACTATGAGAGAATCCCTATTCTCACAACCTGATCGACGTCATACTAACGACCATAGTTCCTCACAACAGAACTGTTCAACCGATGCTTGAAACTATATCGGCCATCTTGAAAATGTTTCCCAACAGCTTAATCAAAGTATGAATTTATCCAACATCCATGTATAACTCTCGCTCTTTGTGCAAAAGCTCAGTTTGATCCAAATTGTAATAAATGATTTATAAATATTTATTACATATTGGACCATCACTTGAGTCCATGCTAACTGTATGCTAAAGCGTTTATAAGTTTTTGAACAGGTACTAGCTTTGGGGAGGCCTTGTGCCACATACAAAGTAGATTCCAAGGTCAAGGGTAGCTCATGTAGTTTTCAATTGTGTCTTTACGAGTCGAGGTCACGATGTGAGATAGACTAGAAACCAGTCGTCAGCATACTTGACGACAAGACTCAGTTTTTGTGGCGTGACAAAGACAAGTTCTTGTTGTCTCATTATAAAATAATATCAACAGCAGATTATGACAGCCTCCACTGTGTTGCTTATAGTCAAAGTTTGCAGACGCTATACAGCAATGAATTAGCTGTGTGTATCCTCATCTCTTCAAGGAGCTCGTTCAACGAAGCAATTGTACTCATGTTCATGATGATGATGATGATAAGTGTAGAACTGAGATCCTACTCAAGACAACTTTTTCCTGCTAATATCAATCATCGTTTGCTGAGGGTTTTCATTCACCACGAGGAAATGTGACTGCATCGCCTATATTTACATCATTTGTGAAGTCACTAAGCGTACTTCATGTGGTTTCTTTAGAAACTTGAATGTGATAGTTCTGACATTAGCTTGTGCAATGGATGGAGTCTGCTGCAGAGAAATCCCATTTTCACACAATCGAACTCTACTGAGTTTATTCTAGAGAATGTGGTTACGAGATACATTTATAGCAGAGCCGAATCAAACCATCGTCAAGTCCAAGTCACGTTTCCATCTAAGAAAGAAGAGATTACACAAACTTACATCAGGTGTCTTTAGTTGACCCTACCTTAAAGAACTGATAATTCGTTGTCTCCATCGGCAATTGCCCTACGAATGTAAAAGCAAAGTATAGAGCATGTTCTTGTTTTCTACTTTCGTCGTGTGACACTGGGAATATCCATATTTTCAAATGTGTGTATGTGAAATAACGCCATAACTGCGTTTTGAATTACATGCACCAAGTTAGAAGAATCTGAACTTCAGATTCTTCTAATGACACATCAATGACACATCATCATAATGATGATAAGTGTAGAACTGAGATACTGCTCAAGACTGTGTCCATGCATTGATTCCATAGCGTTGTTGGTATCTTGATTGTTACGACATGTCTTCCTCCGTTCATCACGAATCCACTGACTTGAATTCCAAAACAGTAAGTTAGATGTACTTGTGGAATACCATTAAGCAAAAAACAACTTCCAAAATGTAATAACTTCATATATAATGCACATGTTACAAACTTACACTTACCCATACAAGATTCCCATTCTGTTTGGAACTACTTCACATTGTGGCTCAGAGAGCTGAATTTTTTTGTAAAATAACAGAATCTTCATCGCAGTAGATCTTTCCACATCAAATTCTTCTCCATCAGCAGTCAATGTGCTTCCAAAGCACAGGTCTTCTAAAGCAGCATTCATAATAGCTCTCTTTTCATGACCACTCACAACCTCAATCAATTTCTTTGTCTATGTTTTTTGAACATGATATATGCAAAGAAATACAGGGATATGTGGAAAAACAATGTCTATGGCAAGTTTCTCATTGTTAGCACAATCCGTCATGAAGCACAAGGTCATCCATCCAGGGATATAATGTTGGGTCATCTTCTTCATCGCAGATAATAATTGCACAAGATCTTCTGTTTCTTCTCTTTTGAGGAATCCAAAAACAGTAGGATGTACGTGTTCATATTCGTCAAACACCATCAAGGTGTACAGTGGATACTGCATTGCAAAAAATGAAATAAACGTATCAGTTTGCTGCTACCAGTCGTCTACAAAGTATTCATCTTCATTGATACTAAGCTAAACCTGATACAAATGAATGATTCGCTATTTTTATGTCTTGATAAGCTAGACGTGACCAAGGTATATAAAACAACATATACATCACACATTGAAAAGTTCAATAATGTCTTACAAGACTGGTTAAAGCTCCAAACCGTCATTTTTTCAAGTATCTTGCAGATATTGCAAATTGTAAGGTAAAATATACACAATCATGGAAGCTTGATGATAAAAACATCAAAATGGACAAGTAGAATATTACCTTATACTTCTGCGTGCCATGCGTTTCATCTATAGCAACACAACCTCCATTTCCATGTTTTAGCAACCAATCTAGGAGCAAGTGTCTTGTAACAGCAAGCCTTAATGGTTTAAATGTATCACTTTTTGGTGCTTGATACAAAACAACTTGAGATGAATTCGCTTTCATCCATAATTCTGTGCTAATTCTATCATTAGCATGCCTTCTCAAAGTTTCCTTGTCCAGTTCCAATTTGATATTATACACATCAACAGATGTGATATAATGATCTCTAATAGGGTTCCCTTGCACATAGCCCAAGCTCTGATGATTTTCAAATAGAGCTTTTGCAGCACGCATGAGAAATTGTGGAGGAGTTAAATCTCTTCTTAACTCGCATTCAACCCACTCTCTCGCAAAAGAACATAAAAAATATTAGACAACGTGCTTGCTTAGCGTCAAAGTTTTACAAACTGTAATAAAAACAAACTTATTGTACATATTACAAATATGACAGGAGATTGAATGTGAACGAT